GGAAGAGCCAACATAGTGAAAATTGTCACACTCCCAAAATTGTTATACAGATTCAATGCAATCCCAATCAAAATACCATTAGCATACTTCCCAGAACTAGAGAAGACATTCCTAAAATTCATTTGGGACCAGAAGAGACCTAGAATAGCATCAGCAATTCTGCGCAACAAAGGCAAGGCAGGGGGCATCACAGTCCCTGACTTGAAATTATACTACTGAGCTACTATGATAAAAGCAGCATGGTACAGCCAAAAAAAAGACCTGAGGATCAACAGAACAGATTAGAAGATGCAGACCCAACTACAAACACACTCAGCCCCCTGATCTTTGACAAAGGGGCCAAACAAATTCACTGAAAGAAAGATAGCCTCTTTAATAAATGTTGCTGGAAAAACTGGCTTTCCACAAGCTGAAGACTAAAACTAAACCCATGTCTGAGTTCTTTTGTCTTTCTCAAAAGGCTCTGTTAAAATTCTGATTTCAGTTGGCCTGTTTCTCATTTCAAAGTAAAGATTTTAATTTCTCATTACTGAAAATATTTGTTATAGGTTTTTGGTAGATGCTTTTCAACTGGTTACGGGAGCTTTCTGTTCTTGGTTTACTTTGAGTTATTGCCATGAAAGGTTGTGGCATTGTATAAAAAATTACTTTGCTGGGGCTGGGGATTTAGCTCAGTGACACAGCACCTGCCTGGCAAGCGCGAGGTCATGAGTTCGATTCCTGGTACTGGGGAAAAAAAGAAAAAAAGGAAAAAAAATTACTTTGCAACTACTGAGATATTATAGTTCTTTAATAGTTAATGTGGCTACTATAGGGATATACATTTTCTAACACCACTGTCCTGGCACTCCTGGTATAAACTCAATATGGTGACAATTTGATCTATGGCCAGAATTGATGCAGTAATGTTTTATTTTGACTTTTTACTGCTGTGTTTTGAGTGACTTATGAGTGATAATGATGTGGTCTTGTTTTGGTATCAACTGACATCCCAGAGTGAGCTGCTCCATGCTCTCTCTCTTTGCATTTTCCAGAAGAACTTTCCAGAACAGGTGGAGTGATTACATCCAGCAAGTGTAATGGCACTTGCTTCTTGACCATTTGGGCTTGAAGATTTTCCTCTGGTTAAAATTTTCTTCAATTCCTTTAATAATTCTAGGACTCATCTTCTTTCGTTTGACACTAACATATTTTCCTGGAGAATTGATCTTTATGCTATTAACCAGCAACTCTTCCAATCCTTAGTAAGTTTCTCTGTCAGTCTTTGTTACTAGAATTAACACCACTACGCTGGCTTTCTTTGGGACAATATTTACCATTATCATTTTCCACACTGTTGATTTTTTCAAATTCCTGTTTCAGGAGTCTTTCTTGGAATGAGCTCATGAAGAAGGAATGAAATGAAAAGAGTGAAGAACTTGGTGAGTACAGTTAAATTACGCAAAGTGGTCCATCCAAAAATGACAGTGGCAGCAGTAACACAATGTGTGCGTTTGGAACAAGGGGAAAATTTAAAAATACTAAGGAAAGGGGGTGACTGAAGTGTTCCAATGCTTTTGAGGTCATGGGGGAAGGGAATGGAGGTATTTACCTTGTTATACATGGGTGCTCAGATATTACTTGGTTTTTGTTTTGTTTTGTCTTTTTGAGACAGGGTCTCACTACGGAGTTCAGGCTGCCCTTGAGCTCACTTTGTAGCCCAGGCTGGTCTTGAACTCGCAACGATCCTCCTGCCTCAGCATGACTCACTTTTGAACTTCGGGTAGGTGGTGAGCTCAGATGGTATCTGCTGTGTCCTGAAAGCTCAGAGATGGTGAAGATGATCTGTGAGCATCCTGAGTACTTCCTCTCAGAGCACCCTTCTGTGCGGGGAGTACAGGAAACTACCCACCTGGGGCCAACTTCGTTCATTTGTTGCAGGTCCTGCCTAAATGTGGGCTCTTGGGCGCACCTCCTCCAAGTGCCCAGTGGAGCTGTGGTCTCCAGTACGCACTGCCGAGGAGTGTGGTCTATACATCTGGTCTCAGGAACATCCCGCGTTCCCATGTCTTTGTTGTTCACGATCTCCTCTTCTTATTTCAATACACACACGACCGAGCCTATTCTATCCAGGGTGGAGGTGTTCTGAGAAGAGTACATCTAATGCACTATTTGCTGAGATAAGGTTGAATTTTAAAGTCTTACCTGTGAAGCTGTTAAATGTCATTATAATATGTGTAACATATTCCAAATTACTGAAATAATTTGGAATTCCAGGTTTCTCCCCAGTTTTGCTTGATTTAAAATTTGATGAGGCCGGGCGTGGTGGTGTACACCTATAATCCCAGCACTCAGGAGTCAGACAGGAGGATCACTGCGAGTTTGAGACCAGCCTGGGCTACAAAGTGAGCTCAAGGCCAGCCTGAATTGCACAGTGAGACCCTGTCTCAAAAAGACAAAAAAAAAAAATTAATAAACAGATCCTACAATGCTGTGTCCAACACCTACCATAATCCAGGATTTGTGTATAATATCTTCCAACGGCCTCCATATCTATTTATATTAGTATCTGTGATAAAGTATTCCTCTGTTACTATCATTGACAGTGAACTCATGCCCAGCTGTAGTCATTGTTGGACAGATACCAGCTCCACCCACACCTTTTCTCTTTCTTTCTTTTCTTTTTTGTTCTTCCCAAGACAAGGTCTTGCTTGTAGTTTAGGACATCCTTGAACTCACTATGTAGCCCTGGCTGGCCTCAAACTCGTGAGGATTCTCCTGCCTCAGCCTCCCCAGTGCTGGGATAATAGGCATGTGCCACCATGCTTGGCTGACGTTTTCCCTATTAATTCAATCATCAACACTATATCTCCTGGTTTCTAGATTTGTGTATGAGTCTTTCTCCCCTACATGACATGGGACTCTTACTCATGAAAGTCTTCTAGCATAATTTCTTAAAGATCACTAAATACGTTTCTAAGATCCTAGGTAAATATCCTTTTGGTACCCTGAGCTGTAACTTCTTTTGATCTGGTAACTGGAACTAATTTAAACCAGCGAGGGCTCTTTTTCTCGTTCCCTTTCTGGGCTCAGTTTCTGTCTTTGTGATGTTCCAACCTGACAACTGGTAGTCCGTTCTGTTTCAGGGAGTAAAATAGGAAGCCCGTGGTCTGCCATCTGTTAACATTCCATACGCTCGGTTCCTTTCTTACTCATCTTCTTGATCCAAGTCTGGGTTTAAATGGACCTGTTTTTGTCTTCAGCATTTGAGTAACAACGATCCTTGTTCTTAGTCTCTACCGCCTCTCATCGCTGACCAGGCTAAGCTGGGCGTGGTGGTACTTGCATATTATCTCAGCAGGAAGATGGCAAGTTGGGAGTCCCACCTAGGAAATTTAGCAACACCCTGTCTCCAGCTTTAAAAAAAAAAAGTTTAGTTAAAGGGTTGGGATGGGGCTGTAGCTCATTGTAGAGCTCTCCTGGGTTGTATTCCCAGTATCACAGGGGGAAAAAGTCCAGATTAATCTTCTGGAAAATTTCCCTCACCTTCCAACTTTCACAAAGGTGCTTGGAAAATCAGAGCTTATGAAAGCAGTCATTCAGGTCTCCCCCCCACCAAAGTCCTCCTTGTCCTCACCCTGGACATTCACTGGCCTGGTGTAGGCTCAACTGGAATTTTCAACAAAGGAATCAATGCAGAAAGAGGGAAAGGTATCATGTCCCGATCACGCAGTCTTTCTGTGATCCTATACTACATTTTGACACGTCAACTTGCGATATATTCCTATTACTTCACTTTTTATTGATGTTCTGTTCTGCAGGGGAGAGATTACAAATCTCCCTGCTGATGCTGGGCGAGACCTGTCAGCACTTAAGAAATTTCTCTTCGGTGACTAAAGATGCCACCAAGAAAGGCAGGTTCCCTGGGAGGGGAGGGAGCCCTGGGTCACCCACCTATCCCTGACCCCTCAGCAACAAGACTCAGGGGCATCACTGCCTCAGGGAGAGCTGGAGGTACATTCCTGTATCTTCCCAGCCTCCTTGGCTCTCTCATAAAACGGGCTGATTAAGTTTTGCACAAGCCATTAGGTGCAGAAGAGTCACCAAGGGTGTGACTCACCCTTGGGCTTCACCTAGGTGTCTAAATAATAAAGCTGTGAGAGGAGAGCTGTCTGCATATACAGACTCCAGGCCCTTGGAGGCCTAGGGACCACAGGCCATGAAGGCTATAAAAGAAAGGCTGAACTCTCCTATCGCTTTTTAATGTAGTTTTATTTTTCTTTTCTTTTCTTTTGTTTTTTTTCACTCCTAGGAAACAAACACAGAGCCTCACACAAGCCAAGCACGTGCTCTACCACTGGGCTACACCCTGACCCCCATTGTGAAGGTTTTGAAGAGACAGAATGAAAAAAGTTAAAAGCTGCCAGTTTTCAACACAGGTATAGCTTATGGATGGCTTCCAGGGTGGGGCCTCCCCGGAAGCCACCGTTGGCTTCCTTTCCTTTCGTCATGATTTAGCCCCAATCTGCACTGGGTGAAGCTCTGGAGGCCAGGATTGTGCAGCCAGTAGGCCGGTGGCCGGGACGAAGGCCAGCTCAGTTTCCTCTCCCGCCTTGCCAGGGGATGTTGGTGGAAGTGGCCTGGAAAGGCGTCAGCTTGCCTGAGGAGAGAGAAGAACAGAGAGGGAGGTCTATGCAGCGAAGCCTTTTGCAAGTAACCTGTCACCAAAACTGCGTGTAGTTCCCTGAAGTGAATCTCACGCAGCCCTTGAAGTCTGAGCGATGAGGTAGGCACCAGTTTGGAGGGTGCTGCTGCGGCCTCAGGAGATTGTCCCCAACTCTGGATAAGATCCGGCAGCTCTGCCAGAGGTGGCTTTTCAGGAGTGTTCCCAGGGCCTTCTGTGCCTCTGGGGCTTCCGGTCCGTGTCCCGTTCACCAAGCCCCAGACTTGCCCAGTTTCACCTGGGTACCCGGCCTGGGAGCGGGTTGGTGTAGCCTGAGGCTGCCTCTGTGACAGACTTCATGGGTGAGAGTCCAGCTCAGCAGTGGTCCCACCACGGTGTTCAGCGGGAAGGAGCCTCGCAAGCTAAGGGTTCCACGCAGCAGGAAGCCCCAGGTGCTGTGAGCGCAGCCCCCCCGTCTGCCCGTCCCTACGCGGAGCTCCACACAGCACACAGCAGGTGCGCAAGACATGCTTCTTAAATGAGTAATTTTTCTTTTTGTGTAACAGTAGGAATTGAACGTAGGGCTCTCACACTGAGCTGCATCCCCAGCTCTTTTTATTTTTATTATTTTGAGACAGGGTCTGGCTAAGTCTGGGAGTTGCCCAGGCTTGGCTCAGATTTGAGATCCTTCTGTCTCCTCGGAGAAAGGGGGCTTAGGATGCCTGGAGAAGTGACACCCAAACTGGGACAGGGAGCCTGTTGCCACGGCACACGCCCAGACCACCAGCATTCTGGGCAGCTGACACACGAGGATGAAGAGTTGGACCCCCGCCTGAGCAGCTAAGCGACTTAGCAAGACCTGGTCTCGAAACTTAAAACAATTTTACAGGTTGGGGATGTAGATCAGTGTGATGACCCTAGTTCAATCCCCAGTACTGCAAAAATAAATTAAAGAAAATAATAAAATAAATCGAGACTCGGAAAAGAGGAACAGGCAGGCCCGGTTGAGGTTTAATCATCTCTAACAGGAAGCAACGACCGTAGTGTGCATTCCCAGAGGTGGCAGAGACCTTTCCGGACGCTCCTCCCGCCCTCCCGCATCTCCGGGTCTAGAGGCCTCCACCGCAACTGCCAGTCCCGTCCTTTGCAGGCACAGACCCGAGGCAAGCGCTCCTGCCGGGAGCCCCGTTTCTCCTCCAAAGGAAGCTAACCTCCGTGCGGGCCTTAGGGGAGGCCATGAAAACCGCCGCCGCCGCGTCGCTTCGCTTGCCCGTGAACGTGCCTCGGCCCCTTCTCACTCCCCGGCGCTCTCAGAGCACCGATCCTGCCCCAGGCCCTGGCGGGCGCAGTGCCAGCAGCGCCGGCACACGGTCTGTGCTCAGGGCCC